TAGAGAGAAAGTTACATGTTTTATAATAAAGCTTAAAAATAAAATTCCCTACCCTGCTCTGTCCCACTTAACTAACCTGTGAAATCTCCTAGTTGGTCAGCTACTGGGAACAAGTAATGGTTGTGCTGAAATCTGTCCACTTTCCATACTTTTGGAACATGTTGTGAGGCTTCTTCTGCAAATGTTAAGATCTTAGATGGTCGGGCACAGTGGCTCAGGGCTGTAATCCCAGCACTCTGGGAGGCTGAGGTAGGCAGATCACAAGATCAGGAATTTGAGACCAGTCTTGCCAACATGGTAAAACACCGTCTCTACTAAAAATACAAAAATTATCTGGGCGTAGTGGCGGGTGCCTGTAATCCTAGCTATTCCAGAGGCCGAGGCAGGAGAATCGCTTGAACCCAGGAGGCAGAGGCCTCAGTGTGCCGAGACCACGCCATTGCACTCCAGCTTGGGTGACAGAGTGAGACTCAGTCTCAAAAAAAAAAAAAAAAAAAAAAAAAGATCCTAAAGAGAGCTAGTTGCCAAAGGGCCATCTACAAAGTTAATGCCAGTCTTGGGACCCAAATCCCAGGGGGCTCTAGGTCTCAGGAGCAAAGCTTAAATTAAGAACCACCTTGTTGGAAATAGATGTTTGGTGCCACAAAGAAAATTAGCACTGAAACAAAGGATCTTTCAGCAATGCACTTTTTACTTCCTGGACAGCAGGCAAGGTACCCTTGCTAGCCATCATGCCACGAGAGTACAATGAACAAAGGAAAATGGACAAATGTATCCCTTAAGCTTTTGGGGTCATCTTTACTGCTATGTCTAATCTCCATTGGCTGGAGCCAGACCTCATAATTTAAACTGAAGCCCGATTGGCTACCAACTTAAAACTTTTCTAAACAAGTAAAAGCAATGGAGAGCTGGGACATGCCTGTGAGCATGTCCAGCACAGATATCTCGGTTAAAGTACAAGGACATAGATTATACTATGTGCCTGTAAAACTGGCCTAATAGCCACATAGGATAGGGCTTAACAAAGTTATTAGCACACTTATTCTTTAACAAGAAAGAAAACTTTAACAAGGAACTTTTCTACTTCCCACATAACTTAATAAAATTCTCCTAATCCTTAGAAGCTAAAGTTCCAGCTTTGAAACATATTTATATATATTGACACTTTTGTTGTGCTCCTTATAAAAAACACTTGCAATTCATTTATGCCAGTTGAGTGTCCTTTTTTTTTTTTGAGATGGAGTCTTGCTTTGTGCCCTAGGCTGGAGCACAGTGATGGGATCTGGCTCACTGTAACCTCCACCTCCCAGGTTCAAGTGATTCTCCTGCCTTAGCCTCCCGAGTAGCTGGGATTACAGGCACCCACCAGGCTGGTCTCAAACTCCTATCCTCAGGTGATCTACCCGCCTTGGCCTCCCAAAGCACTGGGATTACAGGGGTGAGCCACCACACCCAGCCAGTATGTAAAGGTTTATGTGGGTAATTACGTCAGAGGAGAGAAGGCTCTGGTCTTACCCTCTTCTTATAAGGGCATTAATCCCATCATGGGGGCTCTACTCTCATGACCTCATCTAAACCCAATTATATCCTAAAAGCCCCATCTCCAAATACCAGCACATTAGAGATTGGGACTTAAGCATATGAATCTGGGGGAGATACAGATATTCAGTCCATATCAGCTATGGGTGGTGGTTAGAATTTAAGAGAATAAAACTGTCCGGGTAGAGGGTATATAGAGTGCTAAGAACCTGGGCGTGACTTGCAATTGGAATGCACATGGAGGAAGAGAAGTTGAGTAGGAGTCTAGATGGAGTTATCAAAAATAGGAGAGAAGAATGATGCTCAAAGGAACTCCAAAGGTCCTAAATTTGAGCAACACTGGTACTCAGAGAACATTTGCCTTTGGGAGTCTCATCCTGGAGGAGAAGATATCTTTATATCTCTTATTTCCCACCAAACTCAGTGAACTTTCATCAGTTATTTCTAGTCAAAAAGGTAAATGTTAAATGTTAAGTAGTCCAGTTGAAGCAGACCTTTCATTATTTAATCATTATGAGTGAACTATAGCCCCAGTTCCAAATTCTTAAGATAGGGAGAAAGTTACCTGTTTTATAATAAAACTGAAAAATAAAATTCCCTACCCTGCTCTGTCCCACTTGACTAACCTCTGAAATCTAGTTGGTCAGCTACTGGGAACAGGTAATGGTTGTGTTGAAATCTGTCCACTTTCCAAACTTCTGGAACATGTTTTAAGGCTTCACCTGCAAATGTTAAGTTCTTAGAGAGTGCTAGTTGCCAAGGGCCACCTACAAAGGTAATGCCAGTCCTGGGACCCAAATCCCAGGGACTCTAGATCTCAGATGCAAAGCCTAAATTAAGAACCAATTCACCTGTTCCTATTTGGCCATCTTGGATCTCCCTACCAACAACAACACAACAAAGAACCAATTCAATAATATTCTCCTTAATCCTTGGAAGCTAAAGATCCAGCTTTAAACATGTGTTTACATATAATATATTGATAATTTTGTCCTCATTATATATGATAAAACACTTGCAATTCATTTATGCTAGTTGAGTCTCCTTTTTTTTTTTTTTTTTTTTTTTTTTTTTTGTGTTTTTTTTTTTCTTTTTTTTTTTTTTTTTTTTTTGAGATGGAGTCTCTGTCACCCAGGCTGGAGTGCAGTGGGATGATCTGCGCTCACTGCAACCTCCACCCTGCCAGGTTCAAACAATTCTGCCTCAGCCTCCTGAGTAGATGGGATTACAGGCACCCGCCACCTTTCCTGGCTAATTTTCTATTTTGAGTACAGATGGGGTTTTGCCATGTTGGCCAGGCTGGTCTGAAACTCCTGATGTCAGGTGATTTGCCTGCCTTGGCCTACCAAAGTGCTGGGATTATAGGCATGAGCCACCGTGCCTGGCCTTGTTCAGGATTCTTGCATGTATGTTCATCAGGGATATTGGCCTATAGATTTTTTTTCTTGTGTCCATATCCAGTTTGGGTATCAGGGTAATGCCGGCCTCATAGGATGAGTTTGAGAAGAACTGATATTAGTTCTTCTTTAAATGTTTGGTAGAATTCAGCAGCGAAGCTGTCAGGGCCTGGGCTTTTCTTTGATGAAAGACTTTATATTACTGATTCAATCTCATTACTCAGTTGGACTTTTCAGGTTTTCTGTTTCTTCTTGGTTCAATTTTGGTAAGTTGTATCTGTTCAGGAATTTAGTCATTTCCATTTGGTTGCCAGTTTGTTTGCATAAAGTTGTTCATAACAGCCTCTAATGATCCTTTGTATTTCTGTGGTATCAGTTTAATGTCTTCTAGGCCCCTGCTGCTTTCAACACCGTGAAGGATACAAAAA